ATGTATGGTGCTCCCATAAAAGGTAAAGAAACGTTTGAAGTAGATGAGATAGATAAAGCTATAAAATTATTTGACGAAGTTGCTGAAAAATACATGTAAAGCGTTTATTTTTGGTCTTTTGTGAAAGTCAGAAAATAACGCTAATTTTTTATAAAATATTTTTTTATCCGGAATATAAAGACAGATATGTCAACAACAGAGAACACAACAACAGTTATAGTCCATGAAGCTATAAATGAAGAATATGAGTGGGTTCAGTTTAACAAACAACTCCGTCTCATTCGTTCGGTCAAAGACGATATGTACCAAATGCAAAGTATTTTGACAGCATGTTATGCTCCAGATACTAAGCTTCCTAAAGACTGGTTTAGGAACCAAAGCACACAAGAACTTTTGAGCGAAGCACAGCGAGACATACTTTTTTCTGAAAACAGTGAAGCACAGCGAGTAGGGAAGAAACCCCAGTCGCCAAAACTCTATGAAAATCGTGAAAAATTGCCAAACGGTTTGAGAGGATATTATGTACATAGACTTCTTGTAAATGCTGTTGCAATGTGGGCTTCACCTCGTTACGCTTGTTATATTTTCATGATGTTAGATGAAATTCATAGACAAGAACGTGAAGAGCTAGAGAACAAGCTTGAAGCAAAAGACAAAAGCATTCAGAAAAGAATACCACGTTCGGTACCAAAAGGTAAGGAAAAGAACTATAAGTATATGATTTATACTGAAGAGATAGAAAATGAAGAAGATAAAGATATGGTTATGTTGCATTTAGTCAGAAGAAACAACAAAAGCTTTTACGACCTTGCTAAGATTTACAAATCTGACAGAAATTGGTTCTATCGCGAAAACTTACCGATTTCAATGACTCCAAATGAAGATGTGAAACAAATAGTTCAAGATACGTTACCTCAAACACACTATGATATTAAAGGTTGTACAATACTTACCTTCAAAGAAGATTTGCCATTGTTAAAGGAAAAAATAACAGAGTATTTTGACAACTTCAAACAAGCAGAGTAAATGAACCATTTATTTTTCAAGCTTGACTTCAGATGGCTCAGGTAGCTCTAGATGGTAAATTGGCTTGTCAAATCCTTCTGGCATTCCGAGTCCTTCCATCCGACATTCCGAGTCCTTCCATCCGACATTCCGAGTCCTTCCATCCGACAGGAAAAAAATTTCCCGACAACTGGAAAAAAATTTCCTTCCGACAGGCAAAATTTTTTCTGTTGTTCGTCCGTAAACCATTCAAATTTTCGAAAATTGAGAACTTTTTGGTCGAACTTCAGGAAAAAATTTTCCTTCCGACAGGAAAAATTTTTCCTTCCGACAGGACACAAACGAATGTCCGACGTACCACCAACCGAGTCCATTCCAAAGCCAGAAGAACCGACAGCCCCAGCACCACAACAGACTTACTAAGACTAAACACTTAGATTTTTCAAGCTTGACTTTTTACAATTTGAACTTTGTTCGCGTAGATATGAATTCTGAAAGAAGTATGAGGGTCTTGTATGACTTTGTACTTCTCCCAGAGTTCATGTCTGTCAAACTTACCTGCCATGGACTCTTTCATAAGTTCCATGAAATCGTCTTCGGACAATCCAGGGAAAAGTATAATGTCAGTAAGTATTCTTTTAACATCCTTACTTAAACTCTTTGCTGTCTGTACACAAATGACAACTGAGATGTTAAAGTGTCTGAGCTTCTTAAGAATTCGACACATATCTTGTTCTCTATTCTTTAACAAAGGATGAGAGGCGAAATCATCTAAGATAAGAAGACATCTATGAGGGTATGTCTTCCAATCGTAAGATTGCAATTTCTTCGAAATGTATTCTATCTCTTTCTGTTTGTTTCTGAAGTGTTTCTTCTCTAATATTCTCTGCATTTCCTCATTAGGGTCTTTAAACTTAGAATTTATATACTCATTTATAGCATTATACTTCAAAACTCTTCTTTGGTACTTCTTTATCCAATCTAACAACTCAGTATCCTTTATACATACTAACTTAGACTTCTTTATAATATCTTTGAACGAATTGACGGTTTGGTCAAATTGACCAGAAGTACTACAAATGACTACTAACTCATAGAATGGGTTCTTCTCATCTAGTTCTTGTTGTTGTGCAGCCATTTTAAGATAAGTGAAAGTCTTACCCGACCCAGGTGGTGCAATTAGACCTGTTATACCATTCTGAGCAAATAAGAACTTGTCATGTATAGGTTTTATCTGAGCATTTTCTAACTTCCTCTTGTTCTTGTTTAAAACATTCTCAAATTTCTTGTCAATGTCAGCAAACTTTTTTTCTAACATATTTTTAGAAAAATTAAAATTTTTATCTTTTAGAAAATGTCTAGCGATTTCGCTATCTATATTCGAGACAAGCTTTTCGACAGCAAAACATCTGTCGACCATAAAATCTTACATAGTGTAAACAAGAAAGGTGAATTTGTTCTAAAGTTCTGTTTCTGGAATATGACAAGAACCATAAAACATTACAAAGAGCAGTCTTAAAATTTGTCAATGACAGACTTGTTGACAGAGATGACGCCGATTGGAAAGATGAAGTCCAACAAAAGTTCTTAGAATGCAAAGAAGACACATGCGCTGTTCTTGAAGATGAAATAGAAAACAGAATAGATGAGCTATTAAAGGACAAAGAACTTTTACATAAATATGGTTCTGAGAAATTTGACATAACTCCACCAGAAAAGAAGAAGAGAGAAAAGAAAGAGAAGAAAGTAAAAGAAGAGAAGAAAGAACCTGAACCAGTTCCAGAGAAAAAGAAATTTGACATGTAAAAATAAAATTTATTTTTAGAACATTTCTGGGTTCAATGTCAATGTTCTCTTCCTCTTTAGGAGTAAACACTGGCTTAGACTCTAAAATCTTTTTACCCAATTTACCTTGAACTTCAACTATCTTAGACTCATAATATTCATAGTCGTCTGCTTTCTTTGGTTCATAAGGTATAACAAGTTTGTATGCTTTGCCTTCTTTAAGGTTTGAGAACCTTCTGTCAAAACTTTCTTTGACTGCTAACAAACCTTCTATGTCTAAGTCTTCAAATTTCGCACCATTTTAGTCACAATAGCAAACTTAACTGGTTCGATGTTCCAAACTTTGCTGAATGAAGACTTTTCAAAATGGTAGAAGTAAACATTCAAATATGTGAATGGGTCTAGTTCTTCTTTAAGTCCTGACATGTACTTGTTTACTGAGATGAATTTTGCCATCTTTTTCTATCGGATAAAAAAAATATTTTTTTTAAAATTTACTCATAAAAATTTTCTTTGTATATACACCATTCTGTACGTCTAAAAGACTTTTGACATTTGCCAAGAATGTTCGTTAGAAGCTGCCATATAACCATATTCTTGACAATATTGTTTATACGAATCGTACAATGACCTTTCATCTAAACACTCAAAGTCAGTTTCATCTATGAACAGTTCATATACACTCTTGTTTGCTTCTAACAATGTTTGTCTCTCTTCGGTATGTGGAATTTTGTCTTGGATTGAACTTAGAAATATCTAATGTCATAAAATATGAGAACAAGTGGTTGTAAAAGTCAGATGTCAAAGATTCTGCTAAGTCGTCAAAATATTCTGTATCTTGCATATGAGAATCTACGTTCTGACAACTACATATCTTCTGTCAGAACTTTCTAACTTCATCGGAACAGTATTGTTTGAAACCATAATGAAGTTGCAACATTTTCACAAAACTCTTTGGTCTTTATATTTTCTTTCAACAACTCCAACTTTATCTGTTATAAGACTCTTCAAAGCATCTGAGTTTAAAACTTTTGTTGTATCTATACTTTGAAGTTCATTGCAAACTATAAGTTTCATATTCTCTATTGAGGAGTTAAACTTGCCACAGATGTTTTCTAAGTTTGTCATATTCGGGTTCGAATAGCCCTCTAACAGTTTGCACAAAATATCTGTAAAGAATGTGTTCTTACCAGTTCCTTGTTTTCCAATTATAATGAGAGCAGTTTCATTTTTAGCACTTGGATGTTGTAAGATGTTTGCAAACCAACATAAGATATACTCATAGACTCTTTCGTTTCCATTGCATATAATTTCTTTGACATGGTCTAACCAAGCTTCTATAATATTTTCTTTCCATTCTACTTGTTCGTATTTATATCCAGTGAAGATAGAATAGAAGTTTGGAGAAGGTGTATAGAACTTTATACCTCGAACTGAAAAATCTTCTAACTTTGACAATAAGATATCCCAAGCATCTAACATCTTCATGCCAACTTGTACGACTTTTATTTTCTTAAGTTTCTGTCTACATTCTTGTTCAGACACTATTGTTGCTCTTGGTTTGTTAAAGACAACATCCCATTCTTTCATAACATAACATTCTGGGCAGAGTCGACATAAATGACTAAACGTTTCAAATTCTCGACTGCTTTGTTATAGTCTCTAAATGGACACATATTTCTGAATGCTTGGAAGTCAAAAATCTGAAACATCTATTCTGTACATTTTTATAAAAATAAAAAAAATATTTTTTTTATTCTTGACTTTGTTGTTGCATTTGTTGCATTTGTTGTTCTTGAGCTATTTGTTGTTGAAGTTGTTCTTGTAATACAATACTTTCACCAGTTGCATCTTCCAATTCGAAACTTTCTGCCGTCATTGACAAATACATAGGACATAAAAGTTTTACAGGAACAAAGTTTGCGTCAACTAATGTCAACGTTATACTTGCCAAAGTGTTTGAGTTCACTAAGGTTGAAAATTCTGCATTCGAATGAACAATAGCAAACCAGCAGAGAAAGTATTGTTTATACGCATAAGTATCTTTTGGTCATAATAGTTTCTGTCGACATTCGAATAACACTTTGAACCTAAGTTTGAAACAATATATAAGATTGGTGTGCTTAATGTCAATGGAATAGACATTCCTTGTATGACATTTTCCTGTTATAGGAAACTGTTGGTAGTAAAAACCAGAAATAAGTTTTGTATTATAGCTCATATCGTTTATAGTAAACTCAGTCGGACATCCAAACATAATGAAACCTGCTCTAGTTGCAGCACATGTTACACCCGTACTTAAAGTATTAAATAAGTCAACAAAACCTGTTGGTGGTATATCTGAGTAAGTATCTTCAAAGGAGTATTTTTTACCATTCACAACAATAAAGTCTTCTGGTGTCAAAAGAGCAAAACAGGCTTTAGTCGTCATTGTGTTTAAAGTTAGTTTACAATATCGTCCTTGAGGACTTTGTAAGTTTGTTGTTATAGAATTATATGACTCAGGGTTTTTAGTCGTAATAGTATAAACCATTATATCTTCTGCCATTTATATATATTTAAAAGTTTTTCTGAAAGTGGAGAAGAACTTCATCTAAACTTTCACATGGCGTTTCTTGAAGTTCTCTGTCTAAGAAGTTCAAATATTTTGTAAAGACATAGAACTTTCCTTTGTCTACACGAACAAACAAAACAGGGTCTTTCATATCGTTCAAAAGTGTGTAAAGTCCTTTACATGAAATAAAGTCTATATTATTTTTCTTCAAACATCTTTCAAGAAGTTTTGACATTTTTACTTAGCAAATAAATTTTAATGAAATGTTGTGGTCGTCAAATATTTTTTATGACGTCTGGGAAACTATACTTTAAGTTCAACGTTTCACCTCCTTTCATAACGTATATCTTGTCAATGACATTATATGAAACACCACAGCAACTAATGTCGGGTTCTATTTCTTTGATGTTTATATCGTCTGCCTCTGTCAAAAGTTTCAATAGTTCTTTCAAAACTTCATGAGGTGCAATGACATATGAGTTCACTTTTACAGGGTTGTGTTCGACCAAGTTTAACATTATACCTAAAGCTTGACAAATCTTCTCCTGAGTTTGAAGTTTGTCTTTAAGTTGTTGGTAGTCGTTTCGAATATCTGCAACAGAACTTAAGTCTCTGCTAACTTCAGGATATGTTGGTTGTTCTTTTACAGGAACAATTGCTATACCATCTTCGTCTTCGTATGGTTTCCCCACTTCAACATCTCTGTCTTTGACATTGACAATAACACTTTGACTGTTTGTTTGAGTTGGTGAATTTAACTTCACATCTGCCACCGCCATTAAACCTTTTGAAACACTTACGCTTTTATTTTTCGGAAATGACATTTTACTTAGAATAAAAAGATGGACGTATTCGAGTATCTCTTCGAATTGAAGCAAAACAAAGTTTACACACACAAACAATACAAATACATTGACAGAATAGTTCTTTATACAAACAATGGTAAATGTTATAGAATAGCAATATCTGCTGAACCAAAATATTTCCATAAAGCAAAGAAAGTTGGTATAACTGAAATGGTGAAAGTTCTTGAAGCAGACAAAAATATAACAACAAAACTTACAGATATTTCTAAAGGTAAGTTTATCTTACAATATTATGTCAAAACTGGCGTACTGTCAATATTTGACGGAGAGAAGTCAGTTCAAGAACAACTTACTGACCTGCTGCCAAAATCTGCTCGATGGAAGCTGTCGTTATGCCAATCTGAGGAGCCCCAGCAGGTTTCATCGAACGAATCTTCAAAAGAGCATCTTCCGTGAAAAGTGCTATTGGTTTTGTAAACTTCTTTGCTCTCAATTCATCTGGACCGTCTCTGTCACCAGTATATTGTATTTGAACTGTACCAACAGTTGAAATACCACCCATAAAGTCTTCTGAGTCAGCAAATGGAATGCCAAGCCAAAAGTTTGAACGGTCTCCATTTGTATATTGAGTTTTTTGACCTCCTGTATGAGTCCATACTTTCACATATGGCATAATAGAACTTTGCATTTCAGGGTTAATGGTTGTTGTGAAGTTGTTGTTAAAGTTCATAGCATCTAATGTCAAGTTGTATGACCTCATATCCTCAACTGTAGAATATTCTTCTCTTGGATAATATTTGCCATCTATGTTTATATGATATTTAATACCGGGGTTGTAGAAACAAGAATAGTCATTTATAGTTCGTCTGAACAGTACAAACATAGTATCTGCATGTTTCATTGCAGTTGTTAAAGCAATATCTGTTCTTGCACCTGGGTCAGCACTTTGGTTTCCAACTTCACCTGCAAAGTCTTTGACAGATATTTGGTGTATAGGGAACATAAGTGGAACTGCAATATATTTGGCAGCTAAAGCATTTGAAATATCTGGGTCCAACATATAGACTGCAAGTCTGCTTTCTATTCTCTTGCATTCAAATTTTTCGCATGTAAACTTAACTGGGTCCCAAGCAGTTCCAGCAGCATTGAAATAATAGTTTACTTCATTGTTGAAGTTTGAGAAACCAAAGTCTAAGTCAACTTTGTCTTTGCAAAAGTCACAGAACTTGGCTCCACCAGTTCCAGCTACAGTAATGCTGAATGGGTCTGTGTTGTGTTGGTGCAATGACTAAGTTATTTTTGCTTGGAGTAAGTTCGATAGAAATTTTTCCTGCCCAGTTTGGCAAGTATCTTAAAAACCTGAAGATGAGGAAAGATGACAAAGGAACTCTAAGTTTCAGTTTTACTTTAGTGGCAGCAGTTCCATCTGAACCAGAAAGGTTAACATAAACTCCTGGAACGTTAGGGTCAAGTCTTCTTATTTTCTCAATATTTGCATACTGGTCTGTTTGTTCTCTAGCTTGTGGTTGTACTGAGTTTCTCAAAGCGAACCATTCATAGTTTGCCCATGTTACTGTTTGAACTAAGTCAGAGTTAGAATATATCTTATATCCCATGAAAACTTCTGGAGCATATTGGTATCCGACATAGAAAATTCCATTGCAACCTTTCTTGTCAGACAACTTGGCAGAAGGTTTTATTTCAATGTCTTGTTCCACGTATAAGAATGAGTTGTCAATAGAAATAATATGAAACCTGTCGCAAGCAATATCTACTGTTGTTGAAGAACCTTCTCCAAACTCACCTACGTTTCCATAAGAAACAGCAGTTGTATATTCGTAAGTTCCAGGAACTATTTCTGACCTTCTAATGGCATTGTCGCATTCGTTATACCATTCGGAAACATTTCCGTTCATGGCATCCAAAACTGTTGGCGTTATATTCTGAGCGGCGTACATTTCATATGGGTAAAAATATAGAATAGTTGAATTTATGTGTCATAATAGAACCCACTCGTACCAAGCTTTACTTTCTTCCTGACTGAGTTTTTAACTCTTCTTTTTCCTTCATTGCCACTACTTTCACTAGATGAAGTTACTTCTTCACTACTTTCACTTTGTTCTACTCTTCTCTTCTTCTTTGGTGTCGCTTTTGGTAACTTGCCCTCTGCTTCAAGTTGTTGCATCTTTGCCTCATGTTCACCTAGTATGTTGTAAATTTCACGTGTCCTTTTTGCCTTTGGGCTCTGGTCGCCCATCTCAGGTAACCAATATCCTAGAAAGATTTTGTCATAGTTTGTATTTGAGTCTTCGCGTATTGTTTGCATGACTCTTTCCTGAGTTTCCGGTTCAAGCTCTTCAAACAGAGCTTGTCCATATGGAATAAGCTCGTTTCCAAATATATGTTTTTGTAGCCATTCTGGTTTTCTTTCCATGTTACCAATAATATCTTTTGTGAATGGGAAAGCTTTTACCCAATGTTTCAGTCTTGCGTCATTTATTTCTGTAGTTGGTTTTATTTTGTCAAGGAACATGTTTTCAATACTAACATTTCATTTGGTACTGTCCATTTGAGTTTTCTTAAATATTCATCCCTTCTCAGTTCATTGTCTGCAAAGTAAGTTTTTATGACATTTTGTAAACTTTCGTTTGCAAGGTCATGTACAATAGGTTCTCTTCCTTCTATCTCCCTAACTTTCTTTCTAAACTCTTCACCAAATATACCATCTCTATGGTTCTGTGTAGTTCTTTGAGATAAATGTTCTAGAACGTCAGGTGTTATATTTCATCAGCCATGTTCATTTCATACTGGTCCAAAATATCTGCATGTTTCATATCTTTCAATGGCATTAAAGCCGCGCTGAAAATACCAGCTATATCTGGTTCACCATTGACTTCCATTGCGTCTACAACTTCTTGGAATTGTGGTTGTAAGTTTATGAACCACCTATCCGGATTAGCTTTATGACCCCATCTCATTGTAGTTCCATAGTCTGCAGAAACAAAAGTAGGTTTGTTTCCATCTTGGTTAGGTTCTGAATGAACTTTAAACAATGTTTCATTTCTATATGTTTTGTTGAAATTTAACCTTTTATTTTCACCGAGTTCAGCCAAAGATTGAACGTTATATGGTCGTAAGTAAAAAGGATTATTGTATTTGCGTACATTTTCTTTCAGTACTTCCATTCTATGCTGAATATTTTCATCTGATGTTGGAGTCTTTTGTATGTCGGTGAACATTTTTCGATATCCTTCTACTATGTCAGCCGAATTTTTCTTAGACTCTTGGAAAGATTCCATATTCTCCTCATACTCTTGTTGAGGGTCAAGATTTTTCGGCTGTTCCAAATCTTCATCTAGTTCTGTGAAGTTAGTTTCCAAAGGAGGGACTTGTTCGTTTCCTTCTGGCTCTTCTAGCTGTTGTTGCTGAACTATTTCTTCCATGTCTGGTTGTATCTGAACTTCTTCCTGTGGAGTTTCTTGTACCTCATCTGCTGGCATTTCATATATTCCGAGACCGTTTTTAACAAGTTCCCTATTTAAGCCATCCGCATTCATAACCCTTTCTTCTTTCGTTCCGTCTCTATTTTTTACGCGTTTCATGAAGATAGTTGAATTATCATTTATCTCTGACACCAAATATCTCGGAGTAAATTCATCCATGTCATTTGGATGATATGCTATTAAATCATATCCCTTAGCGAGCTTGTATTTTCCAGGTTTGAAATTATATCCCATTTGGTGCTGAACCATAAAGCTAAATAGGTTCGGGTCAGTATTTCCTTCCTTGAACTTTCTAATAGCTTCTTTATATCTGTCACTAAAGTCAAGAGTATCTGGGTAACCATAGTCTTCCTTAAGCATTTTTAAGAATTCTTGGTTTCCTTGTTCTCTACTTCTTTTATGTCCTTGCTCTGTTTGTGGTTGTTGCTGTGCAGTGTTTTGAACTGTTGGTTGTGGTGCAGTGTTTGAACTGTTGGTTGTGGTGCAGTGTTTTGAACTGTTGGTTGTGGTGCAGTGTTTTGAACTGTTGGTTGTGGTGCAGTGTTTTGAACTGTTGTTGTTGTTGTTGGTTGTTTGTTGGTTTTGGTGCATGCCTGTGTCTGTGTCCATGTGACGATGTAAATGTTTTAGGTAGTCCTGGTGCAGGTGCTTCTCTTGGAGGGTTTGGTGGTATATAAGTTCCACTAGCTAGTATATAAGTTCCACCAGCTGGTATATAAGTTCCACCAGCTGGCACATATGTTCCATCTGCAGCATAATGTCCTACCTGACTTTTCGTTCTTAAGAAAGCATTTACTAGGTCTGTTTTGGTCTGTTGTAACTCTTTTTCTTGACTTTCCACAACAGTTGCTCTAACGGCGTCATAGGCACTTTGAACTGCCTGTCTCGTTGCTGCATCTGTTATTTTCGTCATATTTTGTGCTACTTCTCTTAACTCGTTTGTCGAAACCTTCAGACTTCAGTTTCTTTCCAGATGAGAAGTCGTTCACTAGTTTCACCTTACTATGAAGAGCTTCGAAGGCGTTCTTAAAGTCAGCATTCATTAAAGCTTCATTTGAACTGTCTTCATCCGCTTGTATTTTTGTCCTTATTGACCCTATAAGTTGGGCTGCTTTAGCGTTGGCTTGGGCATCTAACCAGTCATTATTAGCTTTTATATATTCTGCGCTTTTCATTGCCTTTTGCATGCTGCGTCGTTATTTTTACTTTCTTGTGCTAAGTTTTCATACTGTACGGTTTGGTTTTGCAACTGTAAAAGTTTTTCTGCCTTTACATTTGCTTCAACTTCTTTTTTATACTCATCGCTATCCATATATGTCTTCAGGGCTTTTTGTTTTATCTCTTCATCTTTCAGTACTTTATATTGAGTAGTATGGTTTTTCAAATTTATAACATCTTGTTCCATTTTTGCTACTTCTGCTGCTTTTTCTGACACTTTTTTCGCATATTCCTCTGTACTTAGTTCTTTCAGTTGTTCTTCTTTCTTCTTTTTCTCTACGTTTAACTCATTGAGTTTCTTTGTGTGTCTGTCATATTCTAGTTTCTTTTCGTTTTCACTTATTTGTTTCTGTATGTCTATGTTTGACTTTTTGACATCTGTTATTTGATTTTTGAGTGAACTCAAATTCATTTGACTTTGAGGGTTATAAGCTGTTCCGTCTGCAGCTCCACCATAGCCTGCCATTTTCGCTAAAAGTGCCGCTCTTAAACCTCCACTCTGTGCACCTATAACTCGGTTTAAAAGCATAGGGTTGCTTGACATTTGTTGCAACATAGTGGGGTCATTCATAATTTGTTGTTGCAACTGTTGTTGTGGTGTTAGTTTTACTATTGGATGTTTCAATGCTCCCTTCCTCTTACGTATATTCTTACGTAGCTTACGTGGCATTTTAAGTGAAGTAAAAAACGGTTTTTGACAGATGTTTATATGACACTTTTTGTTCAGCACAAAAAACTACTCGGTCAAAGTGTTGTCAGTTTTGTAAAATAACCGTCCTATCTCATTCTATAAGGGGGAAAGTCTTCTCAAAGTATACTTCCTTGGAACGCCTGTAACTTTTCCTGTAGCGACGATAGACCCTTACTTGTCCGGACAAAGTTATACTATTTTGGGTGCTCTACAAAAAAGTCAACAGCGACGACTCTCAAAAACCGTTGTGTAAAAAGTTTTACCGTTGGACAAAAAAGTATATATAGAAAACAAAAAACGTTTATAGTTCATTCAATATTTGAGATGGAACGGTTTGCCAACGGTAACTATTAAATAAAATAAAAAAATAGAGGGGGTCTCCGTTGGTAAAAACCGTTTATTTTAAACTTTTCTATGAGTAGTCCGAAAAAAACAGTTTATTTTTCATAATGGAAGGAAGAAAAAGTGTCGCAAACAATTCGTCGACTACCTCTGCAGTTAAAGTTCCTACAACTTATGTCTCACCATTCTCAAAACCCTTACGACCTCCTATAATACCAAAGCAACTTCCTCATACAATTCAAGACAATTTGTTGGACAATATGCATTTGCACAAAGAAACAGCTCAGCCAACAGGTCAGGCAACAACAACTATCGGAACAGAAGCATTTTCAGAAGAAGTTCATACCAATCAGACTCCAATCGAACATACAGAAACACAACCACCCGAAAATACAGAAACACATCCAATCGAACATACAGAAACACATTCTGCAATGACCACTAGGTCGCAAACACGCTATCTCGCCTTTAGCAAACAATTTAAGTCTCAAATTCAAGACACACAAGATAGCGACACTCCTCTTTCAGAGAAAGTTCGTAGAAAATACGCAAAGAAAAGGTTAGAATTGTTAGATAAGTTAAATGAACAGTGGGGTTCAGAAGACAATCGAGATTATAACGAGATGTTTCAAGCTGTCATGGATGCCATTCAGCCTCTTGAAAACGAAATCAAAGACCCTGGCGTACTTGTTGACATGTTTGCTTCATATTTACCCGTTACTGCCAATCTCATAGCGTTGCAAGCTATTGACCAGTTCATTCACTTGTTTCCAAAGAACTTGCAGAAGCATTTACAAGAAGTTAAAATTGCTGAATTTGTCCGTTTATATCCAAATTCATACAATTATTTGGAAGAATTGAATGAACATGGTGAAAGGTCCTTTTACGTATACTTTTTTACTAAACCAGGACAGTCAAAACGGTTATATTGTATACAACCTTTACCAGAATTTCAAGACAATTTCCACGTTATAACAACTGTTGCTTTAGATATTCCTGCCAGAGTTCCATATGGAGGAACAGTAACTATCTCAAGCTTTCCCAAGGGCTATAAAGGAAAGCCTCTCACAATTGCAAAATTCACACACAGCAGTTGCCAATTTGTTCAAGATGTCGAGTTCCATTTCCTCAACAATACGACTTTCATCATAGAGACTCCTCAAGAAGGTATATACAAAGTTTTCATCGCAGGATTTGTTGCTCCCAATGGCGAAGAAGAAGTCGAAGAAATCCTCACCTCAAAGAGCGAAGAAGAAGAAGTCGAAGAAATCCTCACCTCAGAGAGTGAAGAAGAAGAAAATTTCCAAGACATTCAAGATTCAGAATATACCGAATAAAAAAAAAACAATTTAAGACTAAAAATTTAATTTTATTATAATATTTTTATTTTTTTCATCTGGTCTTTGTATCATTCCTCCTCTAGTTTCTCCGGGGCTAGAGGGCACGAAGTGCCTGGAAGCCCCACTACCTTTTTTTTTTTTTTTTAAATAATAAAAATATAGACTCTTTACTAGAAGATTCCAAATCTAAAAAAGAAATTGAGGAAATAAGTCAAATCATGGTATATTTACTGGAATGATTGGTGATAAAACAGTCGATGATAAATCCGGGAAGTTTGGTTCTGGCTTTTTGATTTTATTATATAATTTGAACAAAGCACATAAAAGAAGAAGTGTAAGTTGAAAAGCACCTTCTGCAAAACTTGCAAGATATGTGGACCAGCCTTCTTTAAGAACGACAGCCATATAAATGCCATTCATAATTTCTGTAGGACCTAATATTTCGAGCATTAGAAGTGATAAAGATCCATTATCTCTGATCTTAATTGTTACTATAAACTGTGGGACGTATTGAATGAATACAAGTAGTGTGGAAACAAATCCGCAAACCTGACCATAGTAGTTGATGAACGCACACTCGAAACTATTAACTATTCCAACTATTAACCATACCATGAGCATTGTGATGACTATTGTAATGTTTAATATAACTAAGCCGTTATTTATCAATTTTGATATGAATTTCTTTGAAGGTGTATTGAATTTATTGTGCTCTCTATCATCATAGTGTAGCATCATGAACACTGTCGGCATAAAGCTTATCCATTGTCCAATAAACTCCACAAAAACGATTAATGTTGGAAATGTTTCAGAAAAGTCATGCTGGAAAATTCCAACTAGTTCATGGTAATTCAAACACAAAAAGTTTTGAACAAGTAGCCACATACTAATATGGTCGGCAAAAGTAAATAGAGGTGATAACCCGAAGTTCGTTCTATTTTTGTAGACTTCGTATGGCTCTGGTGTAATCGCAATTATTGAGACAAAAGCGAATGCGGCTCCAATTATTGTCCAAATTAGCTTTGGACTAGCATAGGCATTCATATAGTCCATGAATCCTGTATATATTTCTTCGAATCGATAATCCATCTCTGTACTTCAGTTTGAAAAACGAATAACAGCGAATATTCGCGAATGTCAAATTTTCAGTAGAAAAAATCAACAAGATAAAATTTGAGAGCGATAACTCTTCGAAAAATTGAGAATATTATTGTCGATATTATTTGAACTTATATAAACGATACGGTAGCAATTTTCGAACCTTTCAAAGCACATTTCGCAAAAAATTCTGAATGATAAGGTTTTTTTCAAGTCTCATTTTGTCGATTCATCGCATGCAAAATGATGCATATATGTCGTTTTTAAATATAACCGGTTTCACCTTTCACATCATGGATAAATTTCGAAAAAATTACTTCAAAAACCACTAGAAATCTGCCGAAACTTTTGCTAATGAAAGCATATTATGAATTAATTGTCATCAAGCTAATTTCTTTTAAGAAAAATTCATATGATTCCATATATTTATATAATGTTGGAAGAATCATAATATTATAGCTTATATTGATAATAATATGTTTACTTAACATATTAAAATAAAATATCCAAGTAGATAATTCATGATATAGGGCCTCAATAGACAACTATTAATAAAGCCATATCGAAGAAAAGTAATTATTAGCCGTCCATTTCCTTGCCATATTCCTGGAGCATGCTGAACCTCAGAAAACAAATATTCGGAGTTTTTATTAAAATTATATTTCCTTGTAACTTTATTCTCATAAAACTCATCACGAGATTCAATATCACCAGGAGGTATATAAGCACTCTTAGTCAAAACCCAAGAACTTCCGCCTCCACAGCCGCCGTTACCATGAATACTCGAAAAACCACCGAACCAGCCACCACCAGCTCCGCATTCATCTAGGCCATTGACTGGGTTTCGAACTCCTTGAGGATTTTTAGAAGTTCCTACAGGTGCAGCTTCTCCGCTGCCAAATGTAAATCCGAAAGATGAATTTGCGAGATAACGACCCTCATAAACTTTGTTAGTCCACCATCCTTGAGCGACAAGACCACCGCCAGAACCACCTCTAGAATCCCAATCTTTATAGTCATCAGCCCCTCCACCACCGCCGCACACGATCACGCGATGGTAAAGGGTATTTTCCAAAAATTTGACAGAAGTTTGGCCGCCACCACTTGCTGACCCACCAGAATAGCCTGCCGAACTTCCGCCACCGCCATATCCACCAGGAACCATGTTAGCCTTTATGAAGCTGCCTTTAATGGTTGGCAAATTTGGAATTGCAATATATTTCCCACTACCGCCAATAGTGGCATATATTTGCAAAAAATGCTTGATGTTAACCAAGCCGCTAACATAGCCACCGGCTCCTCCGGAATCAAGATTTGGACGGCATTTTGTATTCCCATTAAAAAGTTTTACGAAGTTCTCATCCATACATACACCATTTTCATAATGATGTGTCGAGACTTCGCCAGTATAACTCCCTCCTGATGCTCCATACAATTCGAATTTATAGAAGCCAGGAGACAGGCGAATGAAATAATCAGTGCATAAGGAAGAATCATCGCAAGGATAATCAAAAGTGTATTTATTTTCTTCAATCGAGACAGGAAGCGGTGATTTGATTCTGATATTAGTTTTATTGGCATCATACAATGAATATCTGATCATTTGCTGCAGATGCTAATAAAGTTAATATCATTTGTTCGATTATTCTATCGGATTCTGAGTATTGAGGCTCAAATATTACTCATCATGAAATTTCATATTTTCGATACTATTCCTTTAGAACTAGCCTTTAATGCATATATTAAATAAACAATAATCCAGTTGTTCTTATCTCTTATTTTATTCATTATCTAAATCAGCCTTTGTGGCCAATTAATAAGACAGATAGAAATAGCAGCATTATTTATATATTAAGGAAAGATATCATGCATTGTTACCATACCAAATAAATTTATTGGATTGAAACCAAAAAGGCTAGCATATTGCCAGCTGTGATTCACTCACTGATAGTCTAGATCTTTAACTAAAAAATACCAAAGTGTGGGAAGAAAAGACTCAAAATTTCTTCCACACTCAGCAAGATTTTGAAGGATTATTTATACGTTTAATTATCAATTATGAGTGCAAGAACTCATTCACCACAGGATCAAATATACGGTCCATTAAATATCCCATCATATTGCTGGCCTATTATCGATACACCTGAATATCAGAGATTAAGATATGTTGCACAGCTTGGTCCAGTTCAATACGTTTTTCCAAGTGCAAACCATTCAAGATTTGAGCATTGCTTAGGATGTGCTCATCTTGCATCAACATTAATGGAACATTTCGAACAAACCCAGCCAGAACTTAATATTAAGCCCGAATACAAACAAATTGTTGTTATTGCTTCTCTTTGCCATGATTTAGGTCATGGCCCTTACAGTCATTTATTTGACGAGATCGTTCGCCCGTCATGCCCTACATGGGATCATGAAGAAATGGGAGGTGAAATTTTACGTTATATTGTCAAGACATATAATGTAGGAATACCATCTGATATAATTGAGGCTGCCTGTGCTGCTATCAAGGGCGAAGAATATGGTGATTATCCAAAATGGTTATTCCATATCATCGCTGACAAGAAGTTTGACATTGATATTGACAAGTTTGACTACCTTGCACGCGATATGAATAGAACTCTTCATATTTCTAAGTTCGAATACGACAGATTAATCGTTAATTGCAGAATTACTCAAGGCAAACTCTCCTGGAGACTATCCGAAATACCTACAATCGAGCGCTTATTCTTTAATAGAAATGATATGCATAATCGTGTTTACAAGCATCGTGTTGCACTTTCTATCGGTGCCATGATTGAAAATATGTTCCAGTACATCAACGAGCACCTCAACTTTGCAGAGCTCATCAAAGATCCTAAAGAATACTGTAAATACGATGACAGAATCATTTTCCTTGCTGAATTAGGTCAATTTGGACCAGAAGCCCAAAAGATAGCCATGGATATCCGCTACCGTAGACTTTATAAATGTGTTGGCGAGCTTCGTGTCAGACCTGGAAACGTTCAAGGCGAAACATATTCTCAATTACCTCCTTCTAAGATTGGAGATGATATTGCAGCTACAATGAACTTAGATTCGTCGATTTTCAAGGTCATTCCTCTCAAGTTTAGGTATGGAATTAGCAAGAACAAGCATCCATTGCTTGAAGTTCCATTTTGGAAACCTGGTTGCGAAGAAATTATTAATTTACAGCCAGAAGATATCAGTGCCATTGTTCCTGCTTACTTTGCTGAAACAGCTATGAGAGTATTCATTACAGATTCTTCTCAGTTATCAGTTGCAAAGCAGGCATTCGAGAAATGGTTAACAACTTCTCCATTCTTCTAATTTTTATATTGTAAATTATAAATAAAGTTTATATATAGGGTATTCATAGACAAAGCTATTAAACATGCTTGATCTTCATCATCATGGAGAGTTCTATCATTTTGTATGAGGATGAATTGCTTCCATTAAAGTATGGAAATTATTATAATGAAATTTTTCTCATAAATTTAATCAACTTTATTCATAATAATTACTTAAGTTCTTATGGTGATTTAACAATTTATAGAGGACTAACGTCAGACTTTCTGAGAAGATAACTTTTTATTATATTTAGATTTATTTGGCACCTATAGACATTAGATAATTTCTTACATTAGGTTTTGCAAGGGCGAGTGCAGTACTTCCATTATTATCCCTTGCATTTTTGTTAGTTCCAGCAGAAATATATGCAGGCGCAATTAACTAGTATCGTGCTGAACCGTTGGGAAAAATTGAATACCCGAGGTTCAGCATACATATAAAAATGAAAGACTTAGAGCCTAGGGTTAAGCAGGAAGATAGAGGATACATATGAGATTATCCTCAGTAACTCTCAGGCAAATCTGAGTTTTTGGTCAGATATATAAGATTATTGTGAACGAAAAATTATCTAATATAGACCTAATTGTCATGTGCGCATATAAACATATGTATATATTATATGTTTCTTGTGTTATTATAGGTTAAATCCATAGTTTGATATGTGAGATAAATTATATCTTAACACAGAAATCGTTTTTTTATATTATCACAGTAGATATGAGGGGTACTATATGAGTTATAATATATATTATTAGGAATAAGTATATAGGTCCAAAATAATGGGAATGCATAATTTATGGCGAACTCAAAACATTTATTTTTATATTATGAGGTTATGAAATTGTTTTATTCATATATTATATGTGCTCTGTGCTATTGAAATGTGCTTAAAATGATTCTGCACGCGCAATCACAAAGCAAAACTTCGTAGCGAGCAACAGTTTGTGCAAGGACAGGGAATTTATATTTTTATCCTTACATAAACTTATAGTGTGGTTAAAATGTTCGGTTTGCTCTCACTTTTGTTCCGCAATGTGACATCGTGAACAAAGTTTCCGATCTGAGTGCATATATGCAGGGTCTTTCCATGGCACCCTGCATACATGTACTCAGATCGGGAATATTGTCCACTTTTGTTCCACGATGTGACATCGTGAACAAAGTTTCCGATCTGAGTGCATATATGCAGGGTCTTTCCATGGCACCCTGCATACATGTACTCAGATCGGGAATATTGTCCACTTTTGTTCCACGATGTGACATCGTGAACAAAGTTTCCGATCTGAGTGCATATATGCAGGGTCTTTCCATGGCACCCTGCATACATGTACTCAGATCGGGAATATTGTCCACTTTTGTTCCACGATGTGACATCGTGAACAAAGTTTCCGATCTGAGTGCATATATGCAGGGTCTTTCCATGGCACCCTGCATACATGTACTCAGATCGGGAATATTGTCCACTTTTGTTCCACGATGTGACATCGTGAACAAAGTTTCCGATCTGAGTGCATATATGCAGGGTCTTTCCATGGCACCCTGCATACATGTACTCAGATCGGGAATATTGTCCACTTTTGTTCCACGATGTGACATCGTGAACAAAGTTTCCGATCTGAGTGCATATATGCAGGGTCTTTCCATGGCACCCTGCATACATGTACTCAGATCGGGAATATTGTCCACTTTTGTTCCACGATGTGACATCGTGAACAAAGTTTCCGATCTGAGTGCATATATGCAGGGTCTTTCCATGGCACCCTGCATACATGTACTCAGATCGGGAATATTGTCCACTTTTGTTCCGCAATGTGACATCGTGAACAAAGTTTCCGATCTGAGTGCATATATGCAGGGTCTTTCCATGGCACCCTGCATACATGTACTCAGATCGGGAATATTGTCCACTTTTGTTCCACGATGTGACATCGTGAACAAAGTTTCCGATCTGAGTGCATATATGCAGGGTCTTTCCATGGCACCCTGCATACATGTACTCAGATCGGGAATATTGTCCACTTTTGTTCCACGATGTGACATCGTGAACAAAGTTTCCGATCTGAGTGCATATATGCAGGGTCTTTCCATGGCACCCTGCATACATGTACTCAGATCGGGAATATTGTCCACTTTTGTTCCACGATGTGACATCGTGAACAAAGTTTCCGATCTGAGTGCATATATGCAGGGTCTTTCCATGGCACCCTGCATACATGTACTCAGATCGGGAATATTGTCCACTTTTGTTCCGCAATGTGACATCGTGAACAAAGTTTCCGATCTGAGTGCATATATGCAGGGTCTTTCCATGGCACCCTGCATACATGTACTCAGATCGGGAATATTGTCCACTTTTGTTCCACGATGTGACATCGTGAACAAAGTTTCCGATCTGAGTGCATATATGCAGGGTCTTTCCATGGCACCCTGCATACATGTACTCAGATCGGGAATATTGTCCACTTTTGTTCCGCAATGTGACATCGTGAACAAAGTTTCCGATCTGAGTGCATATATGCAGGGTCTTTCCATGGCACCCTGCATACATGTACTCAGATCGGGAATATTGTCCACCTTTGTTCCACGATGTGACATCGTGAACAAAGTTTCCGATCTGAGTGCATATATGCAGGGTCTTTCCATGGCACCCTGCATACATGTACTCAGATCGGGAATATTGTCCACTTTTGTTCCACGATGTGACATCGTGAACAAAGTTTCCGATCTGAGTGCATATATGCAGGGTCTTTCCATGGCACCCTGCATACATGTACTCAGATCGGGAATATTGTCCACTTTTGTTCCACGATGTGACATCGTGAACAAAGTTTCCGATCTGAGTGCATATATGCAGGGTCTTTCCATGGCACCCTGCATACATGTACTCAGATCGGGAATATTGTCCACTTTTGTTCCACGATGTGACATCGTGAACAAAGTTTCCGATCTGAGTGCATATATGCAGGGTCTTTCCATGGCACCCTGCATACATGTACTCAGATCGGGAATATTGTCCACTTTTGTTCCGCAATGTGACATCGTGAACAAAGTTTCCGATCTGAGTGCATATATGCAGGGTCTTTCCATGGCACCCTGCATACATGTACTCAGATCGGGAATATTGTCCACTTTTGTTCCACGATGTGACATCGTGAACAAAGTTTCCGATCTGAGTGCATATATGCAGGGTCTTTCCATGGCACCCTGCATACATGTACTCAGATCGGGAATATTGTCCACTTTTGTTCCACGATGTGACATCGTGAACAAAGTTTCCGATCTGAGTGCATATATGCAGGGTCTTTCCATGGCACCCTGCATACATGTACTCAGATCGGGAATATTGTCCACTTTTGTTCCACGATGTGACATCGTGAACAAAGTTTCCGATCTGAGTGCATATATGCAGGGTCTTTCCATGGCACCCTGCATACATGTACTCAGATCGGGAATATTGTCCACTTTTGTTCCGCAATGTGACATCGTGAACAAAGTTTCCGATCTGAGTGCATATATGCAGGGTCTTTCCATGGAACCCTGCATACATGTACTCAGATAAGAAATTTGCTTAATTGTTTGACATGAATGTCACATTCGAAAATCGTTTCTCGAAAGGAGTTTACAATTACAATATATTGTCCTATTGTATTGTAATTGTAAACTCCTTTCGAGAAAAGCTTTCACTTTGTGGCACGAATGTCACATTCGAAAATCGTTTCTCGAAAGGAGTTTACAATTACAATATATTGTCCTATTGTATTGTAATTGTAAACTCCTTAGTTCGATTCCTTCATTTTATTAAATTATAAATATACAATTCTTTCTAATCTTCCTTTTTTATAATTCATTTCTCATTTAAATTCTAAATAATCTAACTCTACTAATCTAGATTTTTTCTAATATCAATTTTTCATATACAAACTCCTATTTTTTCTTTCAAAATTCCATTTTCCAATATTTTTTGAAAATTTTACATAATTTTATATATATTTTATTCTATTATTATTACATAATAATATTATACATATTAATTGTTTTAATTTTTGAATGCATACGATAATTTTTAATTCAATTTTTAAACGAATGTTTTGATGGGACGAGCTTACTGCTCATAGGCTCATCCCATCAAAACATTCCATTCAAAACTCTGGCCTTCATCGAGGCCAGAGCCAACAATTCATCCCCTCAGAGCCAAGTTCCTCGACGGTCGTCCTCATTAGGCCTGATCCGAGAGGAACTTGGCTTTGAACGAAAATCACAAGCTCTGGCCTCAGGAAAAGCCAGAGCTTCGCAAACAATCCTCGGGGCCGGCTTCCTCAAAGACCGCCCTGATTCGGGGCGGCCGGAGAGGAATCCAGTCCCGAGAGAACGTCCATACGAAGCTCTGGCCTTTTCCGAGGCCAGAGCTTGTAAATACAATCCGCAGGGCCGAGTTTGAGGGAGATCGTCCACATCATTGGCGATCTCCTCTCTTCTCGGCCCTGAAAGACATGCAAATACAGGCTCTGGCCATAGCAAAGGCCAGGGCATGGCTTACATTCCCCAGGGCCGGCTTTCCCAAATGCCGCCCTTATCCCGGGCGGCAGGAGTGGAATCCGGCCCTGGGAAGTAGAAAATACGAAGCTCTGGCCCAAGCAAAGGCCAGAGCCTGCAAAATTCATCCTCAGGGCCGAGTTCTGCGATGATCGTCGATCATGTCGACGTCTCGCAGGAACTCGGCCCTGAAAGACATACAAATACAGGCTCTGGCCCAAGCAAAGGCCAGAGCCTCGCTTACAATCAAATTTGCCGAATCTCAGGAGATCGTTCAAATCACGGACGGTTTTCCCTGAGATTCGGCAAAATAAGTCAAATTACAGTTCTAGAAAGACTAGAAGGGGGCCCTGACCTTGAGAAAGGACCCCCTTCCCGGTCTTTCTGGCGAACTTTGGTTCGCATTGCGAGTGTCTGCTGCGAATCCGGGGCTGAGCAGCAGACACTCGCAATCATATGTCGCGGCAAGTGCACCTGTGGTGCCAGAATGCACTTGCCGCGACAATTGCGAAATGCAAAGATGATGCCGGAAGGAGCGGCAATACTGGCAAAAGCCACTCCTTCCGACACCAGAAAGACTAGAAGGGGCCCTGACCTTGAGAAAGGACCCCCTTCTCGGCCTTTTTTGTTAAATTTAAGATTATTTCAATTGCAAAATTATTTCAAAATTCATAATGGATAGTACCATACGAAGGTGCAAGTCATAGCAATGGTGCACCATCAATATGAGCCCCATTGCTATGACTTCACCTCGGGATAACCTCGATGGGAGGAAAAGTGGAGCAATTCGAAACATTGCTCCACTATACAAGTTCTTGTAAGGATAGGTATATAGTTACCACATCCTTACAAGAACTGTTCCTCGCTTCGAGGTTTTGTCTTGTGATTGTGTGTGCTGTGCCATCCAATGGACAAACGGATAGCACAGCACACACATACTAGGCATGATAACCCTTCCTATGAATTAGGACGCGATAGCCCTGACCTCACCCCGGGATAACTTGCATTTGTACTCATATCCCGATCAATAACATAATTTATATCAAGACACACCTACCACTACATAATATAGCATTATATCAACACAATACTAATATATAATGTTAAAAACACACAAATTGATGATATTCATAATATAAATTGGGACCAAAGATCTATATTGAGACCTAACTATTATCAAACCTTTATATATCGGAAACATACATTGCACCTATAGAATATTGAATGAAAATTAGATGGTTCTAAAATTCGATATCTGATGCTGACCCAAGGTGGTCCTCATTCCTATATATGTTCATCTATACCTAATGTCCTAATATTCATCCATATACATGTTGGGTCTATCTCCATCAGAAGGGTCCATGCTGAAGTGTGGGTATTCAATTTCCACCCAACGGTTCAGCACGCCTCCAATTAACTAGGCCTGTTCATACGGTAACCGATGGTAAATCCGCATGGAATCCGCTGCAATGGTAAACTTTTTAGAAATTTCGGAATAAAAAATATACGGAATTATTTTCGTTTTTTCGTTTTTGAAATTTTTTTGGAATTTTTTTCAAGGAATTATCGCTGCAAATAAAAAAAAAAAAAAAAAAAAAAAAAAAAAAAAAAAAAAAAAAAAGGTAGTGGGGCTTCCAGGCACTTCGTGCCTTCTAGCCCTGAGGATGAATGAGTATAATGAAGTTTTTTTTTTCTTGGGGTGACCTTCCAGGCACTTCGTGCCTTCTAGCCCACATAAATGAAGTTTTTATTCGGAGGTCTTCCAGGAGCTTTTCACAAATTATATATGTTTTCATGTTTTGTCAAGACTTCTTCGTAAATGTTTTGTCAAGACTTCTTCGTAAATGTTTTGTCAAGACTTCTTCGTAAATGTTTTGTCAAGACTTCTTCGTAAATGTTTTGTCAAGACTTCTTCGTAAATGTTTTGTCAAGACTTCTTCGTAAAATCAGACAAAAATAATGTTAGGGTAGAAGGTTAGATATAACCTCTTTTCTAACCTCTTTTCTACCCTCTTGAATTTGTCAAGATTTCTTCGTAAATGTTTTGTCAAGACTTCTTCGTAAATGTTTTGTCAAGACTTCTTCATCGTAAATGTTTTGTCATGATTTCATCGTAATGAGCGTAAATGACCCAAAAATATAATTTAGGTGAAGAGGTGAGATGTCACCCGTTTTCTCACCTGTTTCTCACCTCTTGAATTTTCATGATTTCTTCGTAAATGCTTTGTCGAAACTTCTTCATCGTAAATGTTTTTAACTTCACTTAAAATGCCACGTAAGCTACGTAAGAATATACGTAAGAGGAAGAGAGCATTGAAACATCCAATAGTAAAACTGACACCACAACAACAGTTGCAACAACAAATGATGAATGACCCCACTATGTTGCAACAAATGTCAAGCAACCCTATGCTTTTAAACCGAGTTATTGGTGCACAGAGTGGAGGTTTAAGAGCGGCACTTTTAGCGAAAATGGCAGGCTGATGGTGGAGCTGCAGACGGAACAGCTTATAAACCCTCAAAGTCAAATGAATTTGAGTTCACTCAAAAATCAAATAACAGATGTCAAAAAAGTCAAACATAGACATACAGAAACAAATAAGTGAAAACGAAAAGAAACTAGAATATGACAGACACACAAAGAAACTCAATGAGTTAAACGTAGAGAAAAAGAAGAAAGAAGAACAACTGAAAGAACTAAGTACAGAGGAATATGCGAAAAAAGTGTCAGAAAAAGCAGCAGAAGTAGCAAAAATGGAACAAGATGTCATAAATTTGAAAAACCATACTACTCAATATAAAATACTGAAAGATGAAGAGATAAAACAAAAAGCCCTGAAGACATATATGGATAGCGATGAGTATAAAAAGAAGTTGAAGCAAATGTAAAGGCAGAAAAACTTTTTACAGTTGCAAAACCAAACCGTACAGTATGAAAACTTAGCACAAGAAAGTAAAAATAACGACGCAGCCATGCAAAAGGCAATGAAAAGCGCAGAATATATAAAAGCTAACAATGACTGGTTAGATGCCCAAGCCAACGCTAAAGCAGCCCAACTCATAGGGTCAATAAGGACAAAAATACAAGCGGATGAAGATAGTTCAAATGAAGCTTTAACAAATGCTGACTTTAAGAACGCTTTCGAAGCTCTTCATAGTAAGGTGAAACAAGTGAACGACTTCTCATCTGGAAAGAAACTGAAGTCTGAAGGTTTCGACAAAGAGTTAAAAGAAGTAGCACAAAATATGACGAAAATAACAGATGCAGCAACGAGACAGGCAGTTCAAAGTGCCTATGACGCCGTTAGAGCAACTGTTGTGAAAAGTCAAGAAAAAGAGTTACAACAGACCAAAACAGACCTAGTAAATGCTTTCTTAAGAACGAAAAGTCAGGT